CCGAATATTCCAAAAAATATTCTGTATTTATTGTAATAATGATAATATCTCTAACAATGCCCTGCTGGTCTATTCGGTGGTGTGGCAAAGACAGCAAAACATCCAATTACAAAACAAACGGAATCACATTTCATCGGTAATGAAACATTAAATATGTAATTTTGCAATTTTCATAAGCTCTAGTTAACTGAGCGATTTGAAGTGAAAAAAAATAAAGAAAGAAAGTGAAAGAAAATAATTGTTTCGAACTCGGGCTGGCCAATCGGAGCGCAGTTGTCACAGTAATGATATGGCAGAATAGTTTTCAAACAAATTAAATGACATTTCGTCTCTATTTCTGGTTATATACTCGATGTTTTCGAGCTATGACTTATTATGACTACAAAAAAAGTTTAAATTCGCAAGAATATTTTGAACTTTTAGCCACAACTTTTGGTGATACTACTTGTTCACGAGCTACAGTTTTCAATTGATTTGCTGAATTTAAAACAGGACGGGGAAGCTTTGAAGATGATGCGAAGTCAGGTCGGCCGCCAACCGCAATTACTCAAAAAAACGTTCAAGCTGTCGAAAAGGTAATTCGTGAAAACCGACGAACTACATACGTAGAGCTTGAGCGAGAACTAGGCATTGGATCATTGCATTGCTAACTATTATTCGCGGACAACTGTCTCTCCATACGCGTTGTTAGAAATGGGTTCCACACAAATGTATCGATGTATACGTATCGATGAGCAGAAAGTACGTCGCGTGGATTGGTGAAAATTTATAATAGATAATTCGATGCTGGCGAGAAAAAAAACGTTTATGATATACAGACAGGTGACGAAACATGGTTATATAACTATGATCCTGAAACAAAGCGACAGTCCACTGTATGTTTTTTTTAATAATAATAACGCACACACTCAACATAGCCCCGCACTAGGGGAAACCCTGTGTCTCGGGTGCCATGGACACATACATAGACAACCACAAATTACACCCAAACTCACGAGAGAAATAAATGTTGGCCATACAAATATTTCTCCCGGTCCGGGAATCGAACCTGGGACCTCTGCGCGGGAGTCCGACATGGTAACTGTTCGGCCACGGAGGCAGTTGAATGAGTGGTGCTTTGAAGATGAGCCGACGCCAACGAAATGTCGTCGTACACGAAGCATACAGAAACAAATGGTCGCCTCATTTTTCTGCATGACGGGACACATTGCTACTGTAGTGCTAGAGGATTAAAGGACAGTTAACTCCGAATGGAATATAACGGTTTGTGCCCCAAAAGTGCTGTCAGCTTGGTGTGACAAGCGGCCGAAGTCAGGAATCGCCGGATTCCTGACTTCCTCCTGATCATCACGACATGAGCATCACGACAACGCCGCTCTGCACACTTCTGCTAGAACACTTCGACTATTTTCATTCATATAATGTATCTATTCTGCCTCACCCGCCACATTCCCACGACTAGCACCTTGTGATTTTACCTTTTTCAAAAATTAAAGAAAAATTAAAAGGAAAGCGGTTTGAAAGCAAAGAAGATGCCTTGGCTGCTTTAACTTGGAGATTTCTGAGCTGTCTAAAGAAGAGAGGTCATCGATACTTTCCAAGTGATTTAGACGAATAGAAAGTATACGTGTTCATGGTGAAAACTTTGAAAAAATCGATACCTATAATAAATAATGAATTTTATAATTTTTCAAAAACTTATTTCTTTTGGCATGATGTCGTATAGATACCTCTGATGAACACTACGCCTATATACTTAATTTTTCGACCTGTTCTGTTTTTATTTTGTTTTTCGTTTATTAATTTTTTGTTCACAAAATTCGGGGAGCATAATATTAGTAAATGAATATGGTTGTTTACAAAAATAACAGGAAATGACCAAAACATAAAGTTGGCGTAGTGTTCATTGGAGGTAACGAATTATAATAATTTATTTCATTTATAAATTACCTTTAACGATGTTAGATATTATTTCCTTTTACTGTTGTATTTATTAGGCACCCATTTAGTATCACTCCTCATGAGTCAAACTAACGTAAATTATACCATTAATTATATCCAAAACCAGGATAATCTATATAAGTCAATACAAACAACTAAAACAGTGCTTAACAGTAACCGTTTGAGATATTACTCGCGTTTACAAAGTGATATCAGTACATTGAACTGAGTTAATGTTCACATCTAATTCCGAGACTCATCGAGATTGCTGCTTTCTAATACATATATATATATAGCATATTAAGTGGACTACCTACCTACTAGTATTTTTCCAAAAATAAAGCAGTGGTTTTTCAAAACTCTGGTCGGTTATTTTACTTTGTCGGTTATTTTACTTTCATATTATATTAGTATTGACTAAGTACGCAACACAATGCTGCGTTCGATAACTGGCATTGCTGATGTGGGGAGCAAAACCGCCAGGCGCAAATGGGATTGGGCGGGCCACGTTATGTGCAGTTAGGGCAATTTACATTCTAGGCCCCAGAGTTCCTCTGAGAGATAAGTTTAAAGAGGTTAACATTCTTACACTAAAGTCACAGTACATTTATGACAATAATATTTATGTTAAGAAAAATTATAGTTCTTTTATAAAAAATAGTGACAGATGACATTAATACGAGGAATAAAAATAAACTAGCTGTTTTTAACAGTCGTCTTCATAAAGTTTCAAATTGATTTAAGGAGCAATGTGTACGCTTCTATAACAAGATTCCGATTGATATTCAAAATTTGCCATTTACGAGGTTTAATACTATTGTGAAACAAAAACTTTATACTAAAGGTTATTATAAAACTTCTGCGTACTTTGATGACAAAAATCCTTGGTAGTGGATCCGATTAGCTCTTTCAGATATTCTCGATCTAAGATGTTTAAATTAAATATTGTAATGATAATTGTATAAAATTGAAATGTATAGGGTAAGATTGCGTTAGTCGTACTTACCCCCTAAGAAAAAACCGCTGTAATATTTAAGGTTATTTAAATTAAACAAAACCTGAATGAAAATACCAAAAACGTTTATTGAGGGTATTGACAAGAGGTATTAACAAGATTTTCAAAAAGCACGTTTGGTACGATATAGGCACCTGGTCGCCTAATTCATACCACCTGTAGCCTAAGTCGTACTTAGAATAACACTTCAGTCAGGACATCATAAACTGTATAGTACAGTACTAATAAAAAGAGATCATAATAACAATTAAAATCTAGAAACGGGTACAGGTGGTTAAAATCAAATAATTCTTAATATTTCTGAAGGGAGAGAACAATCCCAAAATCTCATGTATAAGGGAACAAAAAAAGAAAAATTTCAGAAAATAAAAATTTCAAACTCTTAAGAAATAGAATTATGAATTGTAATGAAATAAAATTATAATTTCTTCTGAAATAAAATTATAAATTGTAATGAAATAAAATTATAAGTAAATGTTTCTGAAATAAAATTATAAATTTAAACTAAATAAAATTAAAATTCTCCTGAAATGAACTTACAAATTGTAATGAAATAAAATTATACATGATTCGGTAATCAAATAAAGACATTATGTAATAAAGGCACTACAAAATTAGTTTTGTTGAACACAAATATCACAAATATATTATTTAGCTGAAAAAACTAAGAAATAATTTTCATAAATCCCTAAGTCGTACCGATACGATTAAGGAATTTTCTTTAATTTAAGGGTACGACTTAAGCAAAGACACTCTGAAAATTTGAAATCGAAATTACTGTCATAACATAAAAAAATATGTCGTTTGCTTGTGCTTAAATAAATACTAAAATACATCACAAATAGACGAATAACAAAAAAGTAAGTTTACCACCATATTGTTCCTTGGAATAGCTTCCGAATGAAAGAGAAATATAATTTGTTTCCATTTCCTATCATACAGGTTTGTCGAGTAATTCTAGGTTAGTTTTGCGTTCTTGAAAGTTTCCTAAACGCAATAAATTTTTCAATTCTCCGTTATTTCCGCTTAGTCACAAAATCTAAAAAAAATGCGTTTTGTCTAATTTTTTTCTTTTCAACAAAGGCTGTCAATAAGTCAATGTTAAAAGAAGGTAATTTAATCGGTACTTTATGTCTAATTCCTTTTCTTTAAGTATAAAGGTTATTATATTATACTCTCACTTTTTGTATTGCCAAATGTGTCAGTATGTATCTTTTTTAAATGAATAAACTACTTTTTAAACTGAATAAAATGAAAATAACTTATGAATATTTATTTATTACATTTTATTTTATTTTCAAGTCTTACACGCAAATAAGTGCTATAACTAAAAATACATTACAATTTAAAGCTTGTTAGTAGTGCCTTAAGGTTATCTGTCCCGGACTTTCAACATAAGAGTAATTGTTACTATCGAATTGAGATCTTAATGATCTTATTTCTGACCCCATAACGAGTGACTTATGAAAGTCAAAAAAAAGGCATGTAAGCTTAGTTTTATACTTTTTTTTATAAGTCCAGCACTAGGAAAACCCAGAACGCAACAATCACAAATTAATTATACCTCAACTCACGAAAGAAATAAATGTAGGAATGAAGAGAGAAATACATATAGAAATGTAGTTTTTGTTTGTACACAGAAACATACGCGTTTTTGTGTACAAATAAATACATACTAATATTGGTATACATATAGGTCAAGCAATTTTTCAAAGTTCGTTTAAATTATAGGAGTAGTCCTTCTCAAACTGTTGAAAATGTCCCAATTTATGGTAAGTAAGTATTATCTTGGAATGCTTTTAATAAGCTCAACAAATTTTTACCATACCTGCACTAAAATTTTAGGTAATATTATCTACTTTCTAGCAACGAAATCGCGTGTTTTATTCCAAAACAGACGAGAATTAAAAATTGTACTTTTAGGGCAACATGTGATTTAGTCGCAAAAAAGTAGAATTAGTTTATCCGATGTTGGTTTAAAGAAACAAACAAATTTAAATTTTCCTTAAAATTTATTATGTTCAATAAAAACTAAATACAATAAGTTGTTATACCCGTTAAATTCGCTTTAGATTTTGCGTCTATCAGTACGTATTCTACATTAATCTAAATCGAAAATACTATAGCTAAATAAAATCAGTCAAATAGTTCATTAGAATCGCGACATTTCATTAGTTCTGACAAATTCTTCTTTACGACAAGAATCTATCACGGCGTTCCTATTTCTTCTTTTGACTAAGACGTAAATAAATCTGGAAAAAAGAAAATGTCTGTGTTAAAACAATTTTATTCAGAAAGTAAATAAACATTTTCTAAGCGATGTGTATCACTCTCGTCTATATTGTTACACTTTCAGTAAGGTGATTTATTATTATATATTTATGACTTTATATAATTTATATTCGAATATGAAATTAAATAATTATACCTTTTTTAGAAAAAGCTTTAGAAAGTGGACTTTAGAAACTGTGAAAAATTTAGAAAGTGGATGAAATCCAATAAACCAGATTCATCCCCTAATTCGCCACCCTTAGAGGCGGATTTTTTTCTTCACATTTGAATGGGACCACTACTGAGGTACCCCCTTTCCAACAAAAAACGAACAATGGAAATCGGTTCACACACACACACAAAAAAAATACAAGCTCCATATCTTTCTACGTTTGTTTTGATTATAGTGACACTTCCTACCTACCCTCAGGGCATACGAGAAGGGCACTATAACCTGTGCGCTCGCACAGGAAACTCATAAGTTCAGGTTCTGACCCCAGATCAGCCAGTGTACAGGGTTGTCACAGATCTCTGTCACTTGACTTCATACGGTTTTTCGAGAGGCTAGTGCCTCGGGTGAGCCGCCCCGGGTGCACGTACAGTACCCTCCCTATTTTCCAGATAGGTACCGGAGCTGTAGGCACGCTCACTTGCCGTTGCGCATTGCACAACTAGCGGTTGCCACCGCTAAGCCGTCGACTCTGAGTCCACTACCAAATCTCCTCATTGGTGGCGGAGCTATAAGGCACGCTCACTTCCCGACGCCGAAAAACGACGTCTCTCCAGTTCCCAATAACCTAAGCGGCTGGAGGGAGCGAAGGATATCTAGCTCATCCTCTACTAGCTCTCCGGGCTAGTGCCGGAGATGCCAGTCGCAGTGTTCTGCGACAATGTCCGGACAAAGCTTACAACTCACGCGTCTCGCGCGTCTCCTCGCTACCAAGACGCACTAGCTGCTCACGAGACAGACGCCCCGGAAACATGCAAAACCAGGGCAGACAAACATGTCCATCTCTGCAGCTAACCACAAATCCCAGCGAGTCTATACCCAAGTCCGGATTCGCCAGAGACGCCTGCAAAGGCGCATCACTAGCGGAGAGCTTGGCCCGGACGCCCGCTGTACCCTGGTGTTGCCGTCGAGCCCCCTCCAAACGCAGCATTGATATTGCGGGCTGTTTCTGCCGCGTTAGTTCCGCGTCGGAACTCGTATTCAAAAATCACTCGAATTTTCGCAGTATCCATCTTTCTTGTCTAAATTGAATAACAAAAACAATTGAAAGTCGATATTCAAATGTTTCATATTTAAAAAAAAAATCACAGAAACCATTTGAAAAAAGTTTCATTCGAAAACCTCAAACCATGAAGATTCTATGAAAATTCAAAGAACCTATTGCAATAAAACGGCAATTTCGTACTTTAACCCCTAATATTTAAATGAAGTTTTTCACATATACAACACATGAACAACACGATTAACTGTCATTCACGACTTTGTGACATTACGACGACAGACTGTCGTGACAATGGGAAGAGCTAGAACGACAGTTGTCCGACAATAAATAAAACGTCATGATATAAATGTGACGACAGATAATCGAAGCTTCAAACGATTCTGTCGTATAAACGACAAGGCGGATGCCGTGAACCGGCAAATTGTCGGCACGGTCTAGTGGGAACAGCTAGACACGACAGTCGTTCAACGAGAAAATAAACGTCCACGACACGGTCACGACAGAGAGTCGTGATATGGGAACAGGCTAGATGCGTCAGTGGTCCAACGATAAATAAAACGTTACGACATAATGGGAATGCACCCTTACTATATTCTGTCACGTTAGAGTTACAGATCGCTAATGAGTACCCGACTTTATAAAGACTATTTTCAAATTTATTTCTAGTAAACCTTTTCATAAACGTAATTACCTAACGACAGGTAATCATTTCAGTGCCGAAATGTCTGTCTAGACTGTTTATTAGTTTATAAACTGATAAGATTGTTTTACGTTTCAAGTTTTAATACTCAAAACCGAGTTATTATCACCATAAATGTGGTAATTTCTTATGCAGAACTTTACTACATTTTATTTGGACAATAACCTCGCGTAGAATAACAACTGTAGTAATAGGAGCTGTAAAATACGAGGGCGATTTAATAAATACGTGACCTTAAGGTTAAAAAAACTTTGTTTTTTTATTTCATAATTTAGAACTCCTTACTAGGCATGCGACGTTACTTTTTTAAATTAGCGCGAAAAAAGTTAAAAATGAAAAGTTAGATGAGGTATGTATATTTTTTTATAATACCTAGAAATCGGAATTTCGAGTATTCCGTTTTTCATCTGCAATCACAACATCAAAACTATGGCGAATTTCGAATCGAATTTCGAAATCGAATTTGGCGAACTGAATTATGGCGTACCATATAGTTTACATTTATATGTATTAGTTATATAGTTATAGTTCATAAACTATCACCGCACCATCGTTTTCACCAGACTTGGCCCCATTTGAATATCGCTGTTCATGGTGTGTAGTGGAGTAGGAGTAGAAGCTAAACGGAGATTACAAAAAAACCTTAATTAAAAAAAGGATTTTTTTTCTTCTCAAAATCACGGACTTACCGAACCGCCCTCGTATAATGGAGAATAGTAATAACAAATGGAAATACCGAAAAGTTTTGTTAAAAATAATTAAAAAAACATTGTGACTTCAGATCTTTCCTTTATTTTTTTCCATCCTTTGCTTCAGATATAGATATATTTGGCGTTCGGTATGGTTTTTAAACTAAAATTGTCAAAACGAAATAAACTTTTATATTTGAAATTTGAAACATATTTTTTTATCAAAAATAAAAAATAATATGTTTCAAACAACGCCCACTACGAAAATTTATTTTTATAATGTTTTTAGATTTCTACTTAAAATTTAATTTATATGTAGTCCTTATTGAAAATGAAAAAAAAAAATTATAATAAAACTCATATATATACGTCCTAATATTGCCATTATCAGAAAAAACTTACACAAAAAACACCACAGCGACAACTGTTAGAGCAGCATCAAACAGATAAAAGGCACCAGGGAAGTAATCTATCGTTGACACGTAGATATAACTCGATGTAGGCATGTAAATGGACGGAGCTATAGCTTCTGTTACACCTATTAGTGCATTCAATTTTGCTGAAAAGAAAATGAAGAAATATTGCTATCTTATTATAGTTTCACAGTAAACATATTCGTATGAATGGTAAAAGGGCCAGGTTAGGGTATTTGTTGAACACTCACTTAAAAACCATAAATTTTTCACCCTTTTTTGAAATAACATCATTGTTTTCACATGAAAGTATATTTTATTTGCCTATATATGCCTTTTACCTGAAGGTAATAATCATATTGCCTCAATAAATACTTGGTAAGTAAGTGTGTACCGTAAGTTATTGGAAAGGCTTTGGCGTAATGCCAAGTGTTGGAATTTTACTAGATAGTATTTTACTGAATGTATCTTCCGACACTTTATTTGGTTTATGTGGCAAAAGATTGTATATTGAGGAAAATCTACTTTATTCCAATAGAATTATTACGTAAGATTGCTTGTAAAGCAAAGTTACCAGAGTAGCACATGTTATCGTGGCACATTTTAGGATTCTCGCAACATTGCCGTGGTTATAATTTCGTCTTGCCTCGCACGTACGTGATACGTCGAATAATATATAGTTTCGACGGAAAGGAAATATTTATATATTAAGTTTATTGAATATTACGATGTTTTACTTTTATAATATTTCTTTATAATACTTATTCAATTATTTTTGTAAAATTACTCCACTAGTTTGTAATAGTTATTAAAACTACTGAATAGCCCATCTTCTGGGCGAGCTCGATCCAGATCCATTGTAGACTCTATCTTTGCTCCAGGTCAAGGTCAAGAGCAAGCCTATTTACTTTAAAAAATAACAATTATTCCTCTCTCTGCGACGTGAACTTTTCAATATATAAAAATTATTTTTGCGGCATTTTTGAAAATAGAAATTACGTAAAAACAATAGAAACTCTACAGTACCTACATTATATCTTTGTATAAAGTGCACAATTTTTTTTTTTAATATCAAGTGACGGGACGAACAAGTCGTACGTCTGGTGGTAAGCGACACGCCTATCCATAACAGTTGCAGTACCACTCAGAGTTTTAAATCGCAAAGATCTTAGAGGCATTGCCACTGCGCCCGTCACCCTGATAAGTTGACAAGTCCCATGTGTCTGCAATTTTACCAGCACCCTTACCCTTCAAAATTAGAATACAGCAATGCTGATATTACTGCTTGGCGGCAGAAATAGACAAGGTGGCAGTACTTCCATGGACGAGCTCTTTCACAAGAAGCTCTACTAATCACAAGGAGCTGTAATATGTAATTCTTTAGAACTAAAGCTTCTTGGTAAGTGGATTTGTCCACGCATCTATATTTAGTGTTTTTCACCTACACTTCGTTTAAATAAAACGTCTGGAAAACGCGTACGAACGATTGTAAACAAGTTTATATTTATGTAAAAACCTTTGGCATTTATTACATGTATAGCAATTCCGTTTGATAAAACACAATGTGTTGCATGTTTGAATTCTGTTCTGTTGAACTTGTTTTAAAGATCCAGGGGGCCGAGCATAACCTTTCCAAAAATAATCTTATTTTAATGTTAGCACAAAGTAAGCTTATTGTAATATTACTCATTTTCGTACCATGGCAAATAAATCAACCAAGTAATGTATTATTGCTAAAGTGACTGAAAGAACGAATGATTTCCCAATATCGTCTATTCCTTATTAAAAGTAGGAAAGAAATAACGCCATAAGAACTGTATAATGCCAACTCTATCTTTTTTGACGTTCCGACTCGTGTTATCGTAGTAAAAATGTTAAAGTACTTAATATAATTTACATTCAGAGAATTTTCACTGCAAAAAAAGAAAAGTATGTAATAATGAAATCTTTTAAAATTACGTTGTTTTCAATTATTATTCCGCATTTTCATGAAGAAAAATAAATAAAACAAGCTGAGTCTTGATAGTCACGTTGTGAATTCGGAAGATTCGCTCTGGACCTTTTGGAGGGAAAAGTGTCGTTTTTATTTTGACTTTCAATTATTTTGTGAAATTTAGTTTAAAGTGGAATAGGATAGTGCTATTGTGCCTTAATCGAAGATTAAAACGCGAAATTATACGAATCTCGAACTAAAATACCCGTATCGGCCTTTTTAAGAAATCCCGAGTCAATCCAAGCACGCCGCCTCAAATTGCCTATCCTCTTTGTGGCGGCCATATTTACAGAAACATATTTAAACTTAATGTTTAGGCTGATGGCTTTGCCAAATCCTTATTAAATTAAAAAAAATTAATTCGGAACTATAGTCTAGTGTCAACTGTTGGTTTCGCCAAGGAGCACATAGATGGCGCTGTCATAATTTTTCGAAATAAACATCGCTTATTTTTATTTTACGAGAAATTATTTCCTATGTAAACAAAATATTGAAGAGATGTATGTAAATAAATAAGTTCAACTTAACTTTTAATCATTACAAATCAACACTAAGACAATAAAACTGAAAATAATATTGCTTCCATTGCATCCGTGTAATTATTTTATGATTGCTAAATTTGACATAAGAGCAATGTTACTTTAATGTCAAAGTCGCATCATAGTAGGAACTAAGTGAATGAATAATCACAAAGCTGTCAATAAAACATCATAGTTTTAATTTTCGTTACTTTTAATTTAATTAGTTTTAATTACAAATAAGCTTACTTTAAGCGCGTTATGGTACGAAAAGTCAATGTAAGGTTAAAGTAATATTGTTTTAAGAGGTTGTGGTAGGCCCCCTGATCATTTACATACCAATTTCTTCCACGGGTACACTCTTTGAAGCAAGACATCTTATGGCAATCAATCCAGTATGGCTGAAGATGTTGAACAGTGGAGCTGAATAGTACCACGGTCTGCTCGGTGCGAAGGCGAAGACGAAGCATGCTGCTATCCTGCTGACACCTGCGAGAGCACCTATAACGCTGTCCTGTACTTGCATCGTCTTACTCAGAAACGATATACAGAAGAAGGTTCCTGTAATATAAAGTGTAAGATGTGAAATTTTGTAAACAATGGTTTTTTTATACCACGTGATGGAAAGAGCAAGTTGTTCGCCTGGTGGTAAGCGACACGCGTGTTCATAATAGTTGCACTGTCACTCAGAGTTTTAAATCGCAAACATTTGAGAGGAACTTCCACTGCTCCTGTCACCATGAGACATAAATGGACAAGTTTTACGTGCCTGTAATTTCACCAGCTCTCTTACTCTTCAAAACCGGAACATAGTAATGCTGACATTACTGCTTGGAGGTAGAAATAGGTAAGGTGGCAGTACTTCCCTGGACGTACACTAATGGTTCACGATATTACTAACAATTCACATAATTACCTTTATGAAGACTACAAATAACATATTAAAAATAATGAATAAATATATAAATAAATAAATATACAAAATATAAAATAATATTATTCTCACGTAGTTAGCCTACTGTTGGGCACAGGCATTCTTTCAACGCGGATGGAAACTTCACACGTATAATTAAATTCTTTTGCAGATGTGTGCAAGTGTCCTTACGATGTTTCCTTTCACCAAAACAGTCATGGTAAATTTTAAACTAAAGGCACATATTTCCAAAAAAACTCAGTGGTGCAAGCCCGGATTCGATCCCACAACCGTTTATTTAGAGAGTTAATAAGGCCACTACGGCTGTTAAATAACGATCACAATTTATAATAATTATATCAAAATTAAATGAATATTAATTGTGAAAAAAACAAACCGACGTTTCGGGCCCTTTACAGGTCCCATGGTCACGGTTGACA